AGCTTTTCATGTCAATTAGTCTTTTGGTTCTGAAACTTCACTAAAGGAATTTGCACATTTTTGGAAATTTCTTCCTTATTCCCTCTTTGGCAGGTAATTGGCTTTTTTCCAAGTTTTAAATGCAAAGTTTATCATAACAACAAAATGCTAATAACTTCTCCCTATTCCAACTCACTGTCCCATAGTGCACTGCCCCCTGGCCAGCCCCCTGGGGAGAAAAGGTGGGATATTTTTTTGGTTTTGTTTTGTGTGTTTTTTCCCCCAGAGGTGGTGGTGGTGGGTGGGGGGGGCGTTATCAGAAAAAAGTAGTGTGGTCCATTTAAAATTGTAGTATTAAAAAAGAAACACACACACACACACACACACACACACACACACACACACGAAAACCACTTAAAAGCCCTACCCAGTGTGGCTGAGCAGATCCAGCGCCAGCCTGCACACCCAAGGGTCCTGGGTTCCATTCCAGTCTAGGGCATGCACCTTGGTTGCAAGCTCTTCCCCTGCTCCGGCCCAGGTCAGGGCTCATGTAGGAGGCAACCAATTGATGTGTTTCTCTCACATTGACGTTTCTCTCTCTGTCTTTCCCTCTCTTTTCCACTCTCCCTAAAAATCAATGGAAAAAATTCACTAACAGTGAATTCTACCCAGTGTAAGGTGCGCCAAGAGCATTTTGGCTTCTGAAGATAGAAAATACCATGTACTATGACTTTGTTTGTTTGTTTGTTTATTAGTATATTCTCACCCAAGGATATTTTTCCCACTGACAGCACCCAGGTGAGCCCCTACCCCTGGCATGTGCCTTTGCTGGAATCAGACCTGAGACCCTCCAGGATGCAGGCTCTTGGCTGAAGGGAACCTCCTCTCTCAAGGTCACCCCATTTCTTGGGAAAGCTTGCATCCAGTGACCGGTAAAAGCACAGCGTAAAAGACACTCTCCTCGCCCCTGTGCGATCTGGTGCAGGGGCTGTAGCTTCACCAAGGAAGGCTTCCTGGAAGAGGCTGCGATGTAAGGAGAAGGAGCTGTTTTAACAGCTTGGGCCAGAGCCCGAGGAGGCTCTCCTGTAGAGTGAGAGCCCAGCAGGAAACCTCTTCAGGCTGCCAAGGGTCCTGACAGAAGGTTCTCTCCTGCCAGTGTCGCCATGGCCACCTCCATGGCCACCTCAGCTCAGGAGTCCTGCAGACAGAGGACAGTGCTGTTCCCAGGCTCAGCCAGCAGGGGGGCTGCACTCCCAGGCCTCCTGCTGTGGCTCCCAAGGGAGAAGAAAAGCTCTGAGGTCACGGAGCCAAAGCTGCTTTAGAGCTGCCTCTCACCAGGCGGGAGGAGACCCTGCAGTGTAAGTGGCCAGAGCCACACCCAGGCTCCCCGCTACCTGTCCCCTGGCTCGTCCCCTGCACCTTCTGTTCTAGGGAAACCAAATGTGTCCCTAAGAGAGGATTAGAGAGCGTTGCCTGTGGGCTGAAGTCCAGAGTGTCCTGGGAAAGAGAAGGAAGATGCTACTTAAAAGATAGGAAGGTAAGTGTGACCCCAAACACAGAGTCCCCCTCCCAGGCCACCTGAGCTTCTCTAGCAGCACCCCTACCCGCTGACACCAGAGCAGAGACCAGAGCAGAAGCTGAGAGCAGTGGCCCCAAAGCCGTCACATCCAGTGTCATTAGTGACCGCAGGGGCTGCTCTTCCATGTACCCCAGGATCTGCACCCAAAACCTGTGCGTGTTAACCCCTCTCTAACCCCCACAGCCATGACTCCTCATGTCTCAAACCTAAGTAACTGGGAGCTGGTTATTTCTGCATTTCGAGGACATGTGAGACCGACAGGGAAAGAGAGGCTTCTAAGGCATTGCCATACCCAGAGCTCACCCAGCAAAGACCTAGTTCTCCCCACCGTCTTGGGCCTGGGCTGCCAGCAGGCTCCTTACCTTTCTGAGCCCTGAAGTAGATGAGCAGCCCTGCCCCGAGGAAGAGCAGCCCCAGCACGAAGCCCCCGGCTCCACTCAGCACCTTGCTCCTTGCGGATTCAGACTGGGCCCCTGAGAGAGAAGCTGGTTTCAGTGGGTTTTAGCCCAAAGCAACTTCTCTAATGGAGACCCTTGGATTGAGAGCTTGCGGGGAGTCCGGGGGTGGGGGGGGAGGCGAGGGGGAGGCAGCCCTTGAAGAAGCAGAACAATAGCCATTTATGGGAAAGAGACTGAGGTCACACTGAGCAGGTACAAGGCCCAGGCAATCACCTCAGGTCCCCTCACCCCCGACCCAAGGCAACTGCTTCGGCCTCTGAGGGCTGCGGAGACCGGGGCTGGTGACCTCCAGGACTTGGCCGGGTGACAGAGCCGCAGATGGCAGAGCAGATGGGGCTCCCCCGCGGCAGGAAGGTCCCCCACGCTATAGAGGATGCGCCTATTTCAAGATCACAGTGGGCAGCTCAGCCCACAGGGGATGGTGCCCAGGGCCAAGGGGCACCATGACGGGGAGAGTGTGGGAATTCAGAGCAGGGCAGACAGGGAGGCATCCCAGGGCTATGGGTGTTCACAGAAGCGATCACAGGGCTACCCTGTGGCCTGTGCTGAAGGAGAGACATGAGCAAAGGAAAACGGGGTGTGGAGAGATGGGACCCTGACCCTCAGGGACAAGCAAAGGCCCCTGTGGGGGGAGGGGGTGTGAGGTCAGAGGCGTCTCACTCCATTCCACGGTGACAGGGCTGGTGCTGCTGGGGTGCCGCACTTGGCAGGTGTAGACCTCCCCGCTCCGGGGAACTGTCTCCAGCATCACCAGGGTCTGGAAGGTCCAGTCCCCGTTCCGGATCAGGCCCGTGGACACCACCCCGGCCTCCTCTTCCTGGCCGTTGCGCAGCCAGCGGACCTCAATGTGGCCCGGATAGAAGCCGTTCACGGAGCAGACCAGGAGGTTGTGGTGCTGCAGGCGCTGGGTCTTTGCAGGATACACGGTCACTGTGGGCTCAGCTGGGACAGAGAAGGCGGAGGGAGACGTGAGCAAGACAGGCAGGCCCTTGGTGGCTCCCTTTCGGCCTCGTTTCCAGCTCCGGGCTTTAGGCACAGGCAAGCCCCTCTCAAACCCAGCCTGTGGCCCCGCAGGAGGTAGTGCCATGGGCCTTGAATCTCTGCCTACATCACAGGCCACTGGATTTGAGAGACTTTGAGGACATTTGGGGAATTTTTCATATCTTGTAACAGTTATTCACTGTTGAATGAAGTGTTTACAAATATTTCCGACGCACAGAGTGTGTGAGTTCAAGTGTTATCTTCCTGGTCTACACCTTGGGAGATCCTCTCTGCTCAGCTCCTCACCTGCAAAGGGGGTGATAATACTAACTCACTGCTTAAGGACATATGAGGACCAATGGGCCTAAAATATGTAAAACAGGGGCTGGAACGTAGCCGTCACTGTATGTCAGCTGTTTATCACATATGGAGAGAGAACATAAGGAAAGCCGTGGTGAGAATCGGGGGAACAGCTTGGGGAGATGGGGACTCAGGGTGTGAAGTCCTGGGAATGTGATCACACCTGAGAACACAGAGATGGTTCCCCTGGAAGCAGGAAAGACGGGGGATTCCCTAGCTCCGGGGGCTGAGTCCTGAGGGAGAGGGAGGAGCAGGGCAGCATCATTATATCACTGACAGTGACACTCACTGAGCAACCCGCTCCTTCTCAACAGAACCCGACCAGTTATTGGGATTGTTGTCATTTTATAATTATCTCTCTTTTAAGCTGACATTTGAAGCTCAAGGCGGCACTGGGAATCAATTCATATGTGTGCGCTCTGCCTGAGACTAGGATTGGAAAATACAGATTTGGAGGAAGAGGAGGAGAGGAGGAGGAGGAGGAGGAGGATAAGAAGCTGAGAAGAGGACGACAGAGACTTAATGAGAAACAGCAAAGAGCGGAGAGGTACTGCCATAGGTGGTCCAGTAAGTATAAGAGGAGCGTAAAGGATCGCAGCTGTGATTAGAATGACAGTCACAAGCGG